TCCTCCTCCTCCTCCTCCTCCCGCCCCGCTCCCCCCCCCCCACCTTCGCGCCGCTGCCCGGCGGGGCGGCCACGGGGCGGCGGCCTCCCTCTCCCGGGGGGGGGGGGGAGGCCTCCGCCCGCCCCCCTCTCGAGGGGGGAGGGCCTTGTTCTGGAAGGGTTCTTGTGCCAGGAGTCAGGAGGGGGAAAAAACACACAGGAGTCAGGAGGAGTCAGGAGTCAGGAGGAGTCAGGAGGAGTCAGGAGGAGTCAGGAGTCAGGAGGAGTCAGGAGGGTCAGGAGTCAGGAGGAGTCAGGAGGAGTCAGGCGTCAGGAGGAGTCAGGAGGAGTCAGGAGTCAGGAGGAGTCAGGAGGAGTCAGGAGTCAGGAGGTTCTTGTGTCAGGAGTCAGGAGGAGTCAGGAGTCAGGAGTCAGGAGGGGGAAAGCCTTGTTCTGGAAGGGTTCTTGTGCCAGGAGGGGAAAAAAACACACCGACACAATGAATCGTCGATCCCCAGGAAAATATGGAAACATCGGGGGAGTGGGGGGGGAGACAAGAACCCCGAAAATATGGAGAAACATGGGGGGATCCGGTCATTTGTGTCGGTTTACTTGTGTGTGTCCCAGTTCCCCTTCATCGTGATCGATCCCCTGCCGCACCCCCCACCTTGGTTGCCCCCCCCCCCCCGAAAATATGGAGAAATATGGGGGATCCGGTTATTTGTGCCTATTTATGTGTGTGTCCCAGTTCCCCTTCATTGTGATCGATCCCCTGCCGCACCCCCCACCTTGGTTGCCCCCCCCCCCCCCTGCCGTTCGACCCGACCTGGTGGTGAACGTCCGGCCTCCCTGCCCCCGGAGGGCGCGGCCGCGGCCGCTGCTGGCCCTCTTGCTGGCGCGCGGAGCTCTGCTCTGCCGGCCAGCAGGAGGCGCGGCGCTCGGGGCGGCCAAACTCAAGCAGTGACGAAGCGTCCTGGCTTGCCTATAGTCAGAGCCCCGAATCATCAGGGGTAACTCGGGTCAGGGATAACTCGGGTTCGTTTTTCGGGAATCCGAACCCGACTTACCCCGGACCCGAGTTACCCCAGATAACTCGGGCGTCCAGAGCCCCGAATCATCAGGGGTAACTCGGGTCAGGAGTAACTCGGGTTTCTCTTTCGGGAATCCAAACCCGAGTTACCCCGGACCCGAGTTACCCCGAATAACTCGGGCGCCCAAGAAGCGTCCTGGCTTGCCTATAGGCCTACCAAACAGTGCTCTAAGAGCCCTTTGTGCCTTCACGCAATGTTCTCTGAACATGTCTGGCTGGGCCTGCCATGTTTTAGCACATCGGGCTTATGTTCCAGGTTCATTGTTTTTGTCCTTCGAGCATGTTTAATTGAAACCTCTTTGGGTTCTAAGTGCGGGCAAGGTTCATGTCCATATCCAGTGCCTCTTGGACTTTTTTGGACGCGGCGCCACAAGGCCGAGGCGCACTGGATATAGATAAACATCGAGCCTCTAGGGGCAATTTTATCCATATCCAGTGCGCCTCGGGTCTCTTGGGAAGGGAGCCCGAAACTCCATATTGCAGCGGATATAGACATGAGTATTGCCCGCACTAAGAGCATGTCGTGGTAGGCCTGTAGAGATGCCGGGACGGTCGGCCCCTGCTCAGCAGACGGCCCTCCCGCCCGCAGCGGGCGCCCGTGCCAGAGCGCGCCCCGTGCCCGCTGCCGCCGCGCCCGTGCTCCCAGAGAGCAGGGGCTCGACCTCGACGGCGCTCTGGCGAGGCGATGTCGTGGGCCCGTGTTCGTTCTCCTCCTCCTCCTCCTCCTCCTCCTCCTCCTCCTCCTCCTCCTCCCTCCTCCCTCCTCCTCCTCCTCCTCCTCCTCCTCCTCCTCCTCCTCCTCCTCCTCCTCCTCCTCCCTCCTCCCTCCTCCCTCCTCCCTCCTCCCTCCTCCTCCTCGTTCTGGCTTCGTTCTGGCCTCGTCCCTGCAGCGATCGGGCCGAACGAGAGGGGGAGGACGTGGAAAGGGGGGTTCACGAAATCTGCTGCGTGCAGCGGGTTTCGGCCCCGGCGCCGGGCCCATTCCTCGGCACATGGTCGCCTCCCGGCGCCGGGAGGCGCTGGGAAAAGCAGCTGCGTGAGCTGGTTCTCTGCCCTACCCTTTGCTATCCCCCCCTTCGTCCCTGCAGCGATCGGGCCGAACGAGAGGGGGAGGAGGGGGAAAGGGGGGGGGTACGAAATCTGCTGCGTGCAGCAGTTTTCCTCGGTACATGGTCGCTTCCCGGCGCCGGGAGGCGCTGGGAGAATCAGCTGCGTGAGCTGATTCTCTGCCCTACCCTTTGCTCGTCCCCCCCTGCTCGTTCCCCCCCGAGGCGGGGGCGGGGCGAGGACAGCAGCCCGAGAACGACACACGCCGTCCAGGTGTAAGTCGGGCCTGGCCCCCCACAGGGGGGCTTTGGACGCAAAAATTTGCAGATACCCCAGACTGATTTTTCATTATTTTTGACTGACAATTGGATTGACTTTTTTTTTTTTTTACTATTTTGGATTGTTGTTGACAATGTTTGACTATTTTTGGCTATTTCTTGAAAGATTTGGATGCACAAATGGCCAAAAAATCCTGCCCAGACTGATGTTTGACTATTCTTGGATATTCCTCCTGTGGAGGGACAGGCCCGACGTAAGTCTGGATCGAGCTCTCCCAGAGAGAGTGCTGAGCGAAGTGGGCCGTGGCCCCCGGTGGCCTCTGCGGCCCGGCGGGGGCGCGCGTAACCACCTCACCTCTCGGAGGACGCGTAATGGGTGGGGGGCGATGCAGTGGAAACCCATGCCAAGAAGCACCCTGCTTGCCTCCAGGGTGCCCTGGGTTTCTCGGGTCTCGATGTTCCGAGAACGTTGGCTCTGTTCTGAGAGCGGTCTTCGGTTGTGCACGAAGATTCCATCGAGTGCGTAACTAGGCCTATGGGGATGCCGAGACGGTCGGTCCCTGCTCAACAGGGGGCAGGGGAGATCACATCCAACGCTCCGCGAGACCCCCTGGGGCGCCTCTCCAAGGCAGTGGCTACGATTAGATCCCCGGCATGCACGCCCAAACCCGGCCCCGCTCCCCAAAGGGTTGTAATGGCGGTCCATTGCGTTGGTGCTTTGATGATGCAGCTGTGAGAATCCGTCCCGTCGCCCTTGAGGAGCTAGGTTCTGGACGCGCGTGGCCCTCTTTGAGCTTTGAGCTCCCTGAGACCTCTGGGAACCTCCGGCCGGGGCCTCGCGGGAATTTCTGCCACCTGCAGAAACGGGAGGTGGGTGGGCATGCAATTCGAAGAAGAAAAAACGCCATAAGCATAAATTTTTGGCGCTCCGCGCGGACTTCCTGGATCCGCGCTGGCCCCCCCTTGCGGCGCCTCTGGCGCCGACCCTGGCACGCTCCGGCGCCAGGGAGGGGAACCCAGCGCAGATTCAGGAAATCTGCGTGGAGCGCCAAAAGTTTCTGTTTATTGCATTTGTTGTTTCTTCTAGCAATCACGCCGAAAGATCCTGCGCCAGTCTCATTCAGTTCGGCGACCTCACTCGTGCGAGATAGGTTGGCCCCAGTTTGGGATCAGGGCCGCTGAACCAGACGATTAGTGGAAAAGCAGCAGCTTCCTGGTCAAACATTTGGTGCAAACCACTTGGGGACACCTGGCAACTAGCTTAAGAGTTTCAGGCGTTCTCACGTAGTCACTTGTCTGACGCAGACGTGCCCGTGAAATTACCGGGGGGGGGAGTCCTAGCGAATACAAATCGCTCGCCCTCGGCAAGATATTCCACCAGGACGCGAACAGTTGCGCACTCGTGCTGTCTGCAACGGCTTTTGCACCAGGGAAGTGTGTTGGAAACAAGGCAAGGGGAAGGGGAGAGGAGGGATGGAACCGGGGGAAGCGGGACAGGAAGAGGCAGAGAGCGGGAGAAGAGGCGAGGCGCAGAGGAGGCCAATGCAGGGGTCAAACTGGGCATTGCTCGGACGTGTGCGTTTTCTTTTGCCCGGCGAGGACCATCGAGTAACATCTTGGATCATCTTGCGAAGAAATACACGCACGAAATCGAGACATGCACGGGGGGCTGACGTCCGAGCGATGGCGAGCAAATGCTTGGCCCCGTGTTCCCGCGTGCTTGGCTACCCTTGTCTCCATCGGATTTGCAAGGCAAGTCGTCCATGTCCCAGCTTCGTCCACTATCTCATGAAGGAAAGTTTGGTATCACGCGATTCGGCCTAGCATCTAGTTGCAATGACGCTTAATGTGTCTCTCATCGACCACGAGTTGGGCATGCGCACATCGTATTATAATACTTGCTTGATTCGTAGTTTCAGTTGCATCAGCATGTCTTGACCCGTGTTTGGAAATTCCCGGCTATTGTCGGGTGGTTGCCATGTTCCATCCAGGCGTCTCAGAGGAGGGCATCAATTGCAAGAGGGGGTACTTCGCGACTTGGTCGAAGGAGAAGGTCAGATATTGCTGCGCGGTCGAGCAAATAGGCTGTAACGTCCCAACCACGGTCACTACCACCTCTGTGACCACTACGACCAGGACCACAACGTCGACAACGCAAACTGTCACGAGATCCACCACTACCTCGACGACCCAGACTTCGACAACCAGGATATTCGTTTCGGTTCTCCATGTGCAAGCGTTTATTCGCCGTCATCCCTCGCTCGTTTGTGTCCAAAGTTTGCATCGTCGGCCCACGTGACCTGGGGCTGTCCAAGGCACACAGTGGGTCTCGCGTGTGAAAAGAATTCGGAGTCTGGAAGATCCGAGCAAATCGGATGACCTCATGTGGGGTGGAACCAGGGGAGGATCGGGGGCGAAGAAGCTGAAGAGACACGGCGAGACTGAGGAGGTCGGGGAGTTTCGGGGTGACATTGGACAGCAGGGTCGTTCAGTGGCTCCCAACGAATCTGCGCACGATGCCGAAAAGGTCAACGCACTTCTTTGAGGCGGCTCTATCCAGGGGTCAGCGGTCAGGTGGCCGAGACGGCCCCGTCAAGGCGAGGGTGACAGCAATGCCCCCTCCTCCTCCTCCTCCGCCTCCATGTCCCCGGGCATCTTCTCTGCCCTGTTCCTCCTCAGTTTGGCCTTCTCCTCATCCACCCCCGAGTTGATCCACGTGGCAGAGTTGCGCAGGTCTCACACAGCGTCACCAGGAGAGGGAGGACATGGGGCCGGGGCGCTCACGGAACGTTCCGCTCCTCGTTTGGGATTGAATTTCTATTGGCAAATAGCGTTCAATAGTGCCAAATAGCGTGCAATAGCACCCAGGAGCGCCGCATACCGCTCAAATAGTGCCCAATAGCACATGTGAGGGAGATGCATTCTTTCCGCTTCGCTTGCGATTGGGTGCGCTGTTGGTCGCAACGGGGGCCTCCGTGAGCTGTTCTCTGACTGTGTGTTGGGGCGTGCGTGGCGAGGCAGTGCTCTCGAGTGCGGCAGGGGCCCCGACATCGTCGCGCCCATCCATCCCCCCTCGTTCAGGGATTGGGGGATGCGCAACAAAGATTGTCCGTGATCCTCAGCACCACCACCGACCGCACCACGACCGAGGCCCCGATGCTCCTGGGGTACTCTGGCGACGCCTCGGCCGAAGCCGCGGCCCAGGCGAGGCCCACCCTGCCTCCCGCCCACGCCCCGGGCAAGGCCACGGCCGCCGACGAAGAGGCCACCCCCGTCGGCGAACGCGTCACCGACTGCCACGTGGAGGGCAAGGTCTCGGGGGACAAAAAGATACGGATACGTGTTGTCCCCCTTCTTTTTCGGCCTTTCCTGGTCCTCCTGGGGAATCCTCGTTGTCACCGCTGGATTCGCCTCGAAATTCTGGTCAGAACGCACCCCAAGAGAGGTCCGAGGACAACACGTATCCGTATCTTTCCGCCCCCCAAAGGTCCTTCTCGAGAGCATGCGATTCCCGGGGCGTTACCTCAAAGTGTTGGGCCCCAACAGCGGCCTCGTGATCTCTCCGGGCCCGCCAGAGGACGACCTGTGGCAGTTCCGCACGACCGACCTCAGCGACGGCAAGGCAGCCATTGAGAGCGTCAGGTTCAAGGGCTTCTACATCGACGCCTATGGCCAGGCCTTTCTACAGAGCACCATCGGCGTCCGGTTGACCAGGGGCGACCCAGAAGACGGGTCGGATTGGGCGCGCTTCGTTTTCCGTTCCGAGTCCTCGGATTCAAAGGACGTTGTGGAAGTGGAGAGTGCCCGTTTCCCAGGGCATTTCCTCGACGCCCAAGATAAGCTCGTGAATGGTGGCTTCCAGGTCGGTCTGACGTACACCGAGCACCCGTCCGAGTCCAGTTGGGCGATGTTCAGGCTGCACAGCGTCAAGGTGGGGAAGGGCTCCGCGTGCGGTAAGATGGCCACCAGAACCACAACCAGGGCTCCATTGCCTGGCATGGACCCGTATGACTGCCTCGACGGCAGGGAGCAGCATGAGTCTGGCCGGGGCGTGTGGTCCAAGGACAAGCAGAAGTGGTGTTGCCAACACCGCGCCCTTGGTTGCGGCCTGTTGGAACTAAGGCACAGCACCACCTCGACCACGACCACGCTCACTGCCTCTGATTCGGTCAGTTCTACCACAGGCTCCACCAGCACCAGGAACACCACTGACAGAGGTACTCGTGGAGCTCCTGACGAACCTCAACTTGGGGAAGGTCTCCTCGGAGCTGCGCCAGATTCTCAGATAGAGGTCGATGCACCAGCCACGCATACTCACTTGACGCGGTCGAAAGGGTCTCTGAGCGACGGGCCTTTCGATTGCAAAGTTGGTTGGGCACTGATGCCACAGTGGTCGTACGACAAGAAGAGCTGGTGTTGTGAGCACGAGCAGATCGCTTGCCAGCCCTCCCAAGCTTCTGATCCTTACGACTGCGCAGCGGGGTACGACAGCTGGGAGGATGGTTGGTCTGAGAACAAGCGCGAATGGTGTTGTCGCAATCACCACCGCGGTTGTGTTGAGCAGGCCCCAGAGCGTAACCGCTCCGACAATAGGAAAGGTGAGGGAAAAAAGGAGTTGACATTTAATTGTAGCGTTGGTATCTCCATCGTGGGACAATGGGCGTTTGAGAAAAAGGAGTACTGCTGCACGCATCACCAGATCGGGTGCTATCCAACGGTCGTATCCGATCCCTTTGATTGCACAGTCGGTTGGGCCGCTTGGGAGGATGGATGGTCTGAGAACAAAAAGGATTGGTGTTGCGCCAATCATCACCGTGGATGCTCCAACACGACCAGCGAGCCGTTTGATTGCACAAGTAGTGGTGGATATGCGCATTGGGAGGTAGGCTGGTCCGACATGAAGAAGAATTGGTGTTGCGAGAATAAGAACCGTGGCTGCCAAACCACAAGCACAACGACTCCCACGGGACCTACCGAGGCGCCGTTCGATTGTGTCGTGACGCATGCAGGCAACGAGTTGGGCAATTGGAGTATCAAGCAGCGTCAGTGGTGTTGTCTTATCCAGGGCAAGGATCGGCGGCGAGCGAGGGGGGAAGTGAGAAGGAGAAGGCCTCTCAGAAGTCGGCGGGACTTCTGAGAATGTTGTGTTTTCGGGGAAGGCTTAGACAACTTCTCAGAAGGCTGGGGAACTTCCGAGCCTTCCGCGAAGCCCCGCCCCTTCTCACTTCCCCCCCTCGCTCGCCGCCAAAAGGAGTGCCCCACCACGACCACTGCTCCCTTCAACTGTGACGAGGGCCAGCCGGATCCGCACACCGCGTGGTCCCAGCACACAAAGGGCGAGCATTGGACGCGGTACAAGCGGAACTGGTGCTGCTTGAACGAGAGGAAAGGCTGCCCTGAAGGCATACCCGGCGGATCGAATCTCCCCTCCCGATCCTGTGGCGTGCAGCGTCTCTTCAGACAGCGTCCTGTGGCGTGGGGGGGAGGCTCGCGGGAGGAGCGCCGACTGTCCGAAGAGGCGCTTCACGCCACCGGGACGGACGGGAGGCGGCCGGCCTCGTCGGCCCAGGCGGGGAGACGAGCTACGACTGCGACAAGGGCAACGTCACCACGTGGAGCCTGCGGAAGCGGAGCTGGTGCTGCCAGAACGAGGACAAGGGCTGCCCCAAGCCGTACAACTGCGAGGATCCCGTTTGTCTGAGCCATCTCTCTCTCTCTCTCTCTGTCCTCTGTCCCCTCTCCGTCTCCACTCCGTCATTCGCAGCCCTCCACCTCTTCAGCCCTCCGACAGAACAGCATTGAGTAGAAGTACAGTGCCCCGCTGTTTTCCTCCAGAAGGCCATCCGGGCCTCTTCGAGGAGCCGGAGTCGCGCTCGCGCGGCCCTCGCGTCGGTCAGACCCGCCCACCTCCCCGCTCGGCAGGAGGGGGTCCCGCGCGGCACGGGCGGCGACTGGTCGCGCGGCTGGTCTTTGTCGAAGCAAAGCTGGTGCTGCCAGCACGAGCAGCTCGGCTGCTTCGATTCGTCGGGCACTCGGGGGCGGAAACGAACGCACACACAGACACACACACACACAAACACACACACGCACACACGCACACACGCACACACGCACACACGCACACACACATACACATACACATACACATACGCATACACATACACATATGCACATGCACATGCACATGCACATGCACATGCACATGCATATGCACATGCACATACACATACACACATACACATACACATACACATATACACATACAGATGCACATACACATACACATACACATACACAACCACATTCACATGCACATACACATACACATATACATACACATACACACATACACATACACATACACATACACACATACACATACACATACACATACACATACACATACACATACACATACACATACACATACACATGCACATGCACATGCACATACACATACACATACACATCCACATGCACTTGCACATGCTCATGCACATGCACATACACATACATGTGTATACATATGCATATACATATACATCTACATACATGCATATACACATACCTACACACATGCATACATCTATGTACATACATACATATATATGCATGCATGCATGCATACATACATACATGCATACATACATACATATTCACATACATGCATACATTCATGCATATACATATACACATACATACATACACATGTATATATACATACATATATATATGTATATTCACATACGTACATATATACATATATATATATATACATACGTACATACATACATACATGCATACATACATACACATATACATATATGCATATATACACACACATATACATACATACATACATGCATACATACATACATACACACATACATACATTCATTCATACATACATACATACATACATACATCTATGTATGCATACATACATACATACATACATGCATACATACATACATACATACATACACACAACCAACTATACATATATACATACATCCATACATACATACATACATACATACATACATACATACACACACATACATACATACATACATACATACATACATACATACATACATACATACATACATACATGCACACACCGAAACCGATGGCCCCCCCCACCTCTCCCTTTTCCCCTGTCTGGGCCTCCTCGGGGAGCCCTCTCAGCCACGGCTGGTGAATTCGCCACGAGATCCTGGTCAGAAGGCACCCCCGCAGAGGTCCTGGATTTACCGGCACGAGTGACTTTTCGTCCCATCCTACCACCGTGCCTTGGTTGTAGGTCAGATGCTTCTTGGGGCTCCCTGGGCCCGTCTTGGGGACCCTTGGGCCCGAAGCAGTCATGGGAAGCACGCCGCGGGCGCGCCCGGAGCCCCAGGAGCTCTGAGAATCTGGGGCCCGGGCCTTTCACAGGAGTGAGGACTGTGGCTCAGCGGATTTGAACAAGGGATCTGCGGACACCCCAACTCGTGCCGCGCAGGCAAGGTGGCGGAGCGATGTTGTGGAGTGCCCCCCCAGGCCCTTCGTTCGCGGTCCTCCACGGCAAGCTCTCCGTGGACATTCCGGGCGCAGAGCGGGAGCAGGCGGGCGGCGCTGGGGGGAGTTCCGGCCAGAAGGCAGGCAACAGGCGCCTCCTCCTCCTACTCCTCCTCCTCCTCCTCCTCCTCCTCCTCCTCCTCCTCCTCCTCTCTTCCCCCCTCCCCCTCCTCCTCCTCCTCCTCCTCCTCCTCCTCCTCCTCCTCCTCCTCCTCCTCCTCCTCCCCCTCCTCCTCCTCCTCCTCCTCCTCCTCCTCCTCCTCCTCCCCTCCTCCCCCTCCCCTTCCGCCTCCTCCTCCTCCTCCTCCTCCTCCTCCTCCTCCTCCTCCTCCTCCTCCTCCTCCTCCTCTCCTCCTCCTCCTCCTCCTCCTCCTCCTCCTCTTCCTCCTCCCTCCTCTCCTCCTCCTCCTCCTCATCCCTTCTCCTCCCTCCTCCTCCCCCTCCCCTAAGAAGCCCCGCGGGGGGGGGGGCACGGGAGGTGTGCCGACCGTGGCACGTCGGACCGCGAGGCGCTGCTGTGTCTTCACGGGGGCGGAGGCCCCGGGCCCGGGCGGGCCAGTCCTCGAGGCCCGGGCGCGGGCGGGGAAGTGCCCACGGTGCGCCTGTGTTCGGGGGCGGCAGAGAGCTAAGTCGGGCGCGTCCCCTCACAGGAGGACTTTGGACCAGAAATAAAGGATACCCCCAAAATACCTCAAAAAGGTCAAACAATACTGAAAAATTAATCCCCAGATTATTTTTGGATTATTTTTGGATTATGTTGGGAGTATGTTTTATTTTTCGTCGAAAATCCCCCTGTAGGAGGACCAGCTTGATTTACGCGGAGAGGGGTGTGTGGATATCATGGCGAGGGACATGATATCTCTCCAGATTTCATGGCCCCTCGTCTTGTTTCAATACGTCCGCGGCCCCCCCTCTGGGCCGCGCACATGCCGCCGGCCATGACGTGCGCCCCCCACCCCACCCTCTTGGACGCCCCCCTCTTGGCCGCCCCCGATGTGTGCATGGGCGCCGTGTCAGATCTATCTAGGCATCTGAAAACGCCGGGGGCCTTTGTTTTCGTTTTCCGGATCGTGAGCGCTTCTTTTATTCGGCGTTTCGACACTGGGCGGGAAGGTTGGGGGGGAGGGGGGGTGTCTCCAGACCTCTGCTTAGTGTGTTTTCAAAAGTGCGTCCTATGGGGGGGAGACCCCACCCGGTCGAAACAGGCGCCAAAAATAGCCAATTCTACTCCATGGGGGGGGCGCGCCGATTGGCAAAATAATGAATACGAAAAACGATAACTGTTCGTTTGTTGGATCGACGTTTCGTTTTTTCCTATGTTTCGGGAACCTTTATTGTTCTCCATTTTGGGAATGGCCGTCTCACCGTGTTCGGTTGGTTGTGCGATCCGTTTGATAGTTGGTTTTGATTGCAGTTGTGTTTCTGTTTCCGGGTTCTGTCAATTGTTTTCTGTTTTTGGGTTGCCGTTGTTTTTTATGTATTGGGTTGCCGTTTTGGTTGTTTTGGGTCAAGCCGGTGTCGTTGTTGTTCTGTTTGGGGTTGCCGTGCTTTAATGTGTTGGTCGACCGCAACGCAAAAAGTTGAACACGGAGAAAAAGTCCCCTGCGTCTTTAAGAACAGTTGATGGGGTCGAAGGATCACGACGCATCGCCGATGCATCGCTGATGCGGCTCGATGTGTGGCCCGATTTGCTTCACGTTGGAGTCGCCGATGCATCGCCGACGTCGCAGATGCGTCGCCGATGCGTCGCCGATGCATCGGCGATGTATCGGCCGATGCGGCGCGATCCTGTGACCTCATTTGCTCCGACCCCGGAGCTGGGAGGCCTCTGATTTAACACCTGTATCCACAGCTTGCATGTGCTAGAACTCTACAGGGAGGCGGGAAACAGCGGCTGGGGCCAGCCTTTCCACTCTTTCCACCGCTGGCCAGCCTTTTCCACTGTTTCCAAGCATGGCGACCTCATGTCAACGTCTTCGTGCTCGTCGCAGCCCTTGCTGGCTTTTCCGACCCTGGCCACTTCCACTTTGACGGAATTCCCAACTTCCATGTTGTCCAGCTTCTTTGTGTGGTCAGACCCAATGTGTGCATTTTGTAACCCTGTATGTATCCCGCTCAGGGCCACATGAGTAATCATTACCCCGGGGGAGAGGGAAGCGTGGGGAGAGGGAGGAAACGAGTGCGAGGAGGAGGAGGACGAGGAGGAGGAGGAGGAGGAGGAGGACAAAGACAAGGAGTTCGAGGAGGAGGGGACAGGAGGGAGCAGGGTAATTAGGAGGAGTGAGGAGAGGCAGAGGAGGAGGAAGAGGAGGAGGAGGAGGAGGAGCAGGAGCAGGAGCAGGAGCAGGAGGAGGAGGAGGAGGAGGAGGAGGAGGAGGAGGAGGAGGGAGGAGCAGCAGCACCAGCAGCAGGCGGAGAAACAGGAGGAGGAGGCTTTCGTAGGAGGGCCGCGGCCCCGCAGAGCAGCGGGGCCACCCGCGCGGCGAAGGCCCTCGCTCGCGGGCGCCCTTCGGACGCCTCTCGCTGGGCAGACGGCCGAGCGCACCCCACGGCCTCGCCGGCGTCGCCGTCGACGGCACTCCGCGCGGAGGCCGTCGCACTCCGCGCGGCGCGCGCCCTCGCGCCGCGAGAGGCGCGGGCCGGGCCCAGGCTCCCGCCCACGGCGCGGTGCGGCGCTGGCGGCGCCCCCCCCGCGGGCGGCAGCGCCTGGCGGCCCCGGTGGCCGGAGGAGCCCGTGCCCGCAGGAGGCCGACGCCAGTGCGGAGGCATTGGCAGTCGCGTGCGCTGCCCCTGCCGGCTGCGGCTGGGCCCCCGCGGAGCCGACGGGGGGCGCGGGAGAGCACAGGCTGCTGCCCTTGGCCTGCGTGGAGGTCCTCGCCGAGTTTGCGGAGGGCGTTTGCATCGACGGGATCGCAGATCAGGTGCTGCAGGCCGTCGAGCCGTGGCGGCTGGGGTGTGGCTCGCCACATGTTGCAGGGCTCATCGTCTGCCTCCTCCAGAGCTGAGGCAAGAGCGTCGCGGCCGAGGCCGTCCAGGAGCAGGAGGAGGCGGATGATGACCCTGGCGTTCTTGCAAGCATTGACTTGGAGAAGGCTCACGGCCGTGCACAGAGGCCATCCTGCCTGAGGGGCTACCGGCACTGCGCGCCCGAGCTCGCGACCCTGGCAGCGAACCAGCGGCGACCGCGGCGCAGTAGTGTGTGGCAACGTGCCGGCGGGCGTTGGCGGAAGTCATGCTTTTCGCGAGGGGGGTGGTGCCGTTTTTGATACATGTTCCGCGTGCGGATCATGGATTAAAAATGCAGGGATTTAGTATTAAGAGCAACGATGAATTCATGCAGACATTTATTCAAAAATGTATCATTCTTGAAAATCCGATATGTTAAAAAAATCCTGTGTATTAAAAACTGCCCTGTAGGGCACGCGACTCACGCAGATCCTGTTCGCCATGGGATTGGAAGGTTGCCTCCAGTGTCTCTCGCAGCGGTGCAGCCAGAGCGCAGGCGGCGATCAATTCGGCATAGCACGGACGGGGTACCAGGACGGCACCTACTTGTTTGCCACAGACAGCGTGCTATCCGACCACTTGACAGCCCTGGAGGCTGCTCTGCCGCGAGGCGGTCACCGCATGAGGGCCCCCAAATGCCAGATGTGGACCCCAGCGTGCGACGGCGCAGCTGCCGACCGGCTCCCGCTGCACGCGCGCCGGCTCGCCGAGCGCATCCTGCGCGTGCAGGGCGGCGGGCGCCCTTTGGAGGCAGATGCCCTGTGCACTGGCGGACTGGTTCCCTCGCTCGTCTTTCCAGGCGGAGGCGCCTTGATGCAGCGGGGGCCCTCCGAGGCGCTTCCTTCGGGGGCGGCAAAGAGGGGGGTGATGACTAGGGGGGGTGGATATCATGGCGGGGGGCATGATATCTCCCCAGATTTCATGGCGCCTCTTCTTATTTCAATACGTCCCCGGCCACCCCCCCTGGACTGCATCGGGGCTCAAGAGATGGGGTTCAGTGCAAACGGGGTCAGCCAGAGCGCCCGATCTTGCAGGATCCTGCAGGATCAGGGGTGCGCTGACCCGGGCTTGGGTGCAAGATCCTGCAGGATCCTGCAGGGTCTTGCAGGATTCTGTATTTCAGGATCATGTAAGGCCTGACTGACCCGGGTCTGGATTGACCCAGGCGAGCCGATCCCCGACTGCACCCTCTGCCATCCGCAGCCCTGCATTCGGGGCTCTGCACGCAGCCGTCCGCGCTGGGCGTCGCGCACGCTCTGGCCCGAGCGTTGCGGGCATGCCTCGCCGAGGTGGACGTCGAGCGCGTCATGCCCGAGCTCGCGCGGGCTGGGGGCACTGGCGTCTTCCAGGATCGATGCGACGACACGAGCGGCAAGGCAAACAGGGCAGACAGACGCCGCGGCCGTGGCAGACGCGCGCAATCGGCACGGCACCGATGTACTGCCCGCAGTCTTCGGAACACGGGAGAGCAGCGCCCGAGAAAGCGCGTTCGCGTGAGTTCATCGCCGCGCGAGCGGGCTGCTGTTTGCGCGACCCGTGGGCGGCGCCGCGGCTGGTGCCCGGCCCAGGCGGAGGGCGACGTTGGGGCGAATCGCCCAGTTTGCCGCAGCGGCGGAGACCCAGATCGTGCGGGCGCATGTCAACATTGCCGCTGGGGCCTTCGGCGGAGCTCCTCATGGGGCCACGAAGCGCGTGAGAGGTGTGCCGACATGCGTCGCGCAGACGCATGCGAACGTTGCCACTGGGGTCTTGGAAGGAGCGCCACAGGGGGCCACGACGCGTGTGAGGGGTGAGCCGACATGGGTCGCGCGGACGCGTGGGAACCTTGCCACTCTTATGGGACCACTGCACGTGTGAGGGATGTGCCGACATGGGTGGCGCGGGCGCATGTAAAGTTTGCCATTGCGGCCGTCGGTGGGGTTCCCGATGGGGCCACAGAATTTTTTTCAAGGGTGTGCCGAAATGAGTGAGAGAGGGATGAGAGGAGGGAGGAGGGGGATGCGGAGGATGAGGAGGAAGATGAGAAGATGAGTCGCGGGGG